GAAATGGGGCATGACATAACTTTTCAATCTCTATCGTTTACGTGATCGAGTTTCGCTATCTCTGAATAGGTCATCTGAAAGCTCCTCTGTATCTTTGCAGCAAGTGAAGGAGCTCCTTGCCTCTTCTGCAAGAGCCCTCCGCTTCCTCTTTTGCAATGAGCAAGCTCTTTATCTCCTCTGTTTCCTAACAGGTCATGAGACAGCTCATTTCCACACTGTCATTTCGTATGCGAAGACACAGGAGCTCATTCATTTTCTATTCAGAGATTGAAGAACTCATTCATAAGAAATGTATGAGAGTTCTCTCATGTCCTATCTAACTGATTTCCCGTCACTAGGCAGAGGAGTCCTCAGCTCTACCATTTCTTATCTTTATATGACATAGCTTCTCTATCTCGCAATAATCAGGTCGTGAGAGACCTCCTCTTTCTTTTACAGGAAATGAGAGAGGTCTCTATCTACCCTTTGTGAAAGAGCTCCCTTTGTTCACTGGCAAGAACTCATTCATGAAAGCTATAAGAGTTCCCGTCGATAGGTAAAGGAGCTCACAGCTCTTCTATATCTTACCCTTTACATGAAAGAGGCTCTCTATCTCGTAGCGGGTCATGAAAGATCGTCTCTATCTCTTTGCCGGACATGAGAGAGTCCTCTACCTACCTCTTGTGAAAGAGCTCCCCCACCTCGTAACGTACAAAGACAGAACTCGTCTATCTTTCAATGGGACATGATCCGTCTCTTTGGTTTTGGTTGAGAAAAGCTTCTCTATCCATGAAGCAAACATGAGAGAAGCCGATTGTCTCTAGGCTGCTTATCGCTTCGTAGGAAATGACATAGCTCTTTTACCTTTTTGCGAGAGATCAACCCTAATTGAAGGTTTCGAAGGCCTATCCCTGAAATGGAGCGTCGCATAACTCATCAGTCTCTCTCGCTTACGTGAGACAGCATTTATTCTATTTCGTAACAGGTCATCTAAACGCTCTTCTATGCGTTTGTAGAAGTAAAAGAGCTCCTTGCCTCTTGTGCAAAAGCTCCTCCGCATCCTAAAGAGCAATGAGCAAGCTCTTCTATCTCCTCTCTCTTGAATAGGTCATGAGAGGGCTCCCCTCCCTCTGGTTGAGGGAATGACAGAGCTCCTCCGCCCCTTACGAAAGAGCCTTTCTCCTGCTTGAAAAGCTGCGGGCGGGTGCTCTGGCGCCTCGTAGGTTTGGGAGGGCTCCTTTTCACATCTTTATCTTTCCGACTCCGAGATATAGGAGCTCATTTTTTCGAAAGTGGTAGCAGAGATCTCTCATTTCCAAGAGATCTTTGTCACTCAGGGAGAAAGCAAGGTTTTGATTTCAAAGAAATGGAGGAGCTCTTTCATGTCCCATTAAGAGTGTGGAGCGCTCTCATTACGCATGAAAAGATTGATGACATGGATTCGTTACCATTCTTTAACTTTTCTCGAAGGGTCTTTTCTTTTCATATGCAGGATCTCTTTCATTTCCTATGAGAAGATAGAGGAGCTCTTTCATCTCAAAGATAGAAGAATGCATTCATAAACGGTATAAGAGCTCTCCCATGAACTATATCTCATCGTAGGGGGCATAGGAGTCTTAGGGGGCTCAGGATTCGCGTGCAGGGTGTAGGGTTTATAGGGCTACGGGAATTTAATGGAGGGTGTATTTGTGTAGTCTGCCTATTACCGTAACAAACCCGTGACATAACCCAGAGCCATTACTTGCAAGACTGCTTCTTGAAAGCAAGAGCGCTAGTGTCTAACCATTGTACATTCCTACATGAGATACCCCACCACATCTTGAAAACACCTCTTTCTCCAAGGGTTTACTGGGGCATTAAGGAACAAGAACGTGATGGTTTCAGCACCAAAGTAAGGGAATAGCAAAGGGTTTCCAGGGAAAACTTCCCTGATGCAACCGGTCTCTATCTCACAAGAGGTCATGAGAGACCTCCTGTATCACATTGCAGGAATGAGAGAGTTCTCCACCATGTTTGTTTTCCGAAATAGCTTCTCTATCAATGAAGAGTTTTGAAGGTCGCCCTGGGCCATTCTCTGTCCGATAAATGAGACATGACATAACTCATTAGTCTCTATTAAGAGAGTCTCTATCACAACTATATGAAAAATCCTTCCTACATCTTGAAGGCGTCCCTTTCTTTAAGGGATGAATGGGGAAATTAAGGGAAAGAAAGGGTGATGGTTTCAGCACGAAAGTAAGGGAATAGAAAAGGGAACGCGATAAAGATGCACGAAGGCTTAAAGAGGCCCAGAAAATCAAGAAATTAAAGAGGATGGTTAATTGCTTGAATTTCTCTAATTTCTCACAGAGAGGCTTAGCAATTAAAAAGCCAGAGAAATTAATTAATTTCATTACTTTCTTTAATTTCTTTTAGTTAGTCTCGCAACCCCACGCGGCTACCGGATGTTTTTTGTTAATTTCTTTAATTTCTCACAGAGAGGCCTAGAAAATAAAGAAATTACAAAAATTAATTACCCGGCTCACGGGATTAGTTTAAATAAAAGAAATTAATGAAATTGATCAAATTAAAGAAATTGATTAATGTATTTAGTTTCTTTGATTTCTCACAGATAGGCTCTGAAAGTAGAGAAACTACAGAAATTAATTTCATTAATTTCTCACAGAGAGGCCCAGAAATTAAAGAAATTAATGAAATTAATTAATTTCTTTAATTTCTTTAATTTCTCACATAGAGGCCCAGAAATTCGAGAAATTAAAGAAATTAATTAATTTCATTAATTTCTTTAATTTCTTTAATTTCTTTTAACTAGTCTCGCAAGCCCGAAGGGCTACCGGAATTTATTTCTTTAATTTCTTTAATTTCGCACAGAGAGGCCCATAAACTAAAGAAATTAAAGAAATTAAAGAAATTAATTGGGGGAGCCCCCCCGGCTCACGGGACTAATTCAAATAAATTAAAGAAATTAATGAAATTAATGAAATTAAAGAAATTAATTAATTTCTTTAATTTCTTTAATTTCGCACAGAGAGGCCCAGAAATTAAAGAAATTAATGAAATTAATTGGGGTAGCCCCCCCGGCTCACGGGACTAATTAAAATAAATTAAAGAAATTAATGAAATTAATGAAATTAAAGAAATTAATTAATTTCTTGAATTTCTTTAATTTCTTTAATTTCTCACAGAGAGGCCCAGAAATTCAAGATATTCAAGAAATTAATTAATTTCATTAATTTCTTTAATTTCTTTAATTTCTTTAATTTCTTTAATTTCATTAATTTCTTTTAATTAGTCTCGCAAGCCCGAAGGGCTACCGGAATTAATTTCTTTAATTGCTTTAATTTCTCACAGAGAGGCCCAGAAATTAAAGAAATTAAAGAAATTAATTGGGGGGCCCCCCCCGGCTCACGGGACTAATTAAAATAAATTAAAGAAATTAATGAAATTAATGAAATTAAAGAAATTAATTAATTTCTTTAATTTCTTTAATTTCGCACAGAGAGGCCCAGAAATTAAAGAAATTAATGAAATTAATTAATTTCTTTTTCTTTAATTTCTTTAATTTCACAGAGAGGCCCAGAAATTAAAGAAATTAATGAAATTAATAATTTCTTTAATTTCTTTAATTTCTCACAGAGAGGCCCAGAAATTAAAGAAATTAAAGAAATTAATTAATTTAATTAATTTCGTTAATTTCTTTAATTTCTTTAATTTCTTTAATTTCTTTAATTTCTTTTAATTAGTCTCGCAAGCCCGAAGGGCTACCGGAATTAATTTCTTTAATTTCTTTAATTTCTCACAGAGAGGCACAGAAATTAAAGAAATTAAAGAAATTAATTGGGGTAGCCCCCCCGGCTCACGGGACTAATTAAAATAAATTAAAGAAATTAATGAAATTAATGAAATTAAAGAAATTAATTAATTTCTTTAATTTCGCACAGAGAGGCCCAGAAATTAACGAAATTAATGAAATTCATTAATTTCTTTAATTTCTTTAATTTCTTTAATTTCTCACATAGAGGCCCAGAAATTAAAGAAATTAAAGAAATTAATTAATTTCATTAATTTCTTTAATTTCTTTAAATTCTTTAATTTCTTTTAATTAGTCTCGCAAGCCCGAAGGGCTACCTGAATTAATTTCTTTAATTTCTTTAATTTCTTTAATTTCTCACAGAGAGGCCCAGAAATTAAATAAATTTAATTTCTTTTAATTAAAATAAATTAAAGAAATTAATGAAATTAAAGAAATTAATTAATTTCTTTAATTTCTTTAATTTCGCACAGAGAGGCCCAGAAATTAAAGAAATTAATGAAATTAATTAATTTCTTCAATTTCTTTAATTTCTCACAGAGAGGCCCAGAAATTAAAGAAATTAATGAAATTAATTAATTTCTTTAATTTCTTTAATTTCTCACAGAGAGGCCCAGAAATTAAAGAAATTAAAGAAATTAATTAATTTCATTAATTTCTTTAATTTCTTTAATTTCATTAATTTCTTTTAATTAGTCTCGCAAGCCCGAAGGGCTACTGGAATTAATTTCTTTAATTTCTTTAATTTCTCACAGAGAGGCCCAGAAATTAAATAAATTAAAGAAATTAATTGGGGGAGCCCCCCCGGCTCACGGGACAAATTAAAATAAATTAAAGAAATTAATGAAATTAAAGAAATTAATTAATTTCATTAATTTCTTTAATTTCGCACAGAGAGGCCCAGAAATTAAAGAAATTAATGAAATTAATTAATTTCTTTAATTTCATTTATTTCCCTAAGAGAGCCCCAGAAATTAAAGAAATTAAAGAAATTAATAGGTAAATAAATTAAATTCCTCATACAAGTGATATACGTGAAATGGACCCAAAAGGTCCCTCTCACATAAATATATATATATATACACATACATATATATATATACACATAATATATATATATATATATATATTATTTGTATTTACATATCTTTATATTTGCTCGCAGCCCTTCCCGGTTATGCTGGTTGCGCCACATGTGTCTGATCCCCACATGTTCGACCCAGTAGCACTTGCGGTGTCTTGCCCGGCCGCATCCCGTATGGGTTTTGGAGCTGCGTGCTGGGTGCCTCCATAAGGTTCAGTGTTGGTTCGCAGAACTGGAAGCCTTTAGCCTTCAGAAGAAGTAAGGTCATTCGATGGAGGCAACATGCGGCCAGAAACGAGGGTGAAGTGCAAGTGCGTGTGAACCTACGGAAGCCACTGCCGACGCTGCTTGCAGAGGCGTGGGAGTGGTATCCTGCGCACATGTTGAAGAGAAGAGTGGACCTAGCTCGGTCGAAACAGCTGGACTTGAGCGCCGTCGTTATGGACGGCAACGCTAAGCTGTCAGGCAGGATATGCGGCCGTCCCGCGGCGGAAATCATCGACAACCGTTCGCTGGACATGTTCACCGTGACCTGTTGCAGCGCGGAGCCTCAGTTCAAGAAACGGCGTTGCATGAAACACGACACCAGCCATGCTCCAGCAGATCCGTTGCCCGAACAGTCTGAAGTCTTTACTGCCCATCGTCGTGTTCGAAGAGCAGGACAAGGGGAACTGTATGATGTGTTTTTGAAAGTGAAGGATGCTCCAAATTTGGCAGGCCGATGGGTCAATGCGTCCCTTGTGACAGCCACGCAACTACACGAGTACTGGCGAAAATTGGAAGCCTCTGGCTTCGTTCCGGAAAAGTCGGCAGCTGAAGATCTGGCTGCAAGCAGCTGCAAAACCCACAAAGAGATCCGGCAGGGCACGAGAGCGCAAGTGCAACTGGGCAGCACATGTGTAATTCCTTTGTTTAAGAGTGTCCAGGTTCAAGACTGAAAGACATAGGGCTGCTGCGTTTTTCTGTTGGTCGAGGAGAGCTGGGCGGTGTAACGGGTTTCTTTTCGCAACGACGCCATGCGGGCACATTCTGCACATGAAGCCGTATGTGGGTGCAGAATCATTGTCGCAAAGGTTTTTTTTCTAGGAGAATTGGTGGAGGCTGTTGGTGAGATCAATGTCCTGATCCACGATGACAGTTGTCATCTCCGGCGTTTCTCGGAGAGGAATGGTGACCGGACAGAATTGACAAATCGTCTAAGACACCCGCGGATTCGGTATATACTTGACCGGATGCACGCCACGGGTCATAGCGACCCGTGGTGTATCCGAGAGTGCCATCCGGACGCACCGCAGAACGCTCAGCTTGTGCAAGATCTGAATACGTCTGCAGCAGAGGTCCTCAACAGTCTCATGTCCAGGCATCGACACGCCGTGGGGATTTCTTCTTGCAGGAGGTAGCAGATTCCCGCAACACTGTTGCTGGACCAGAGCCGGCAGGACGGGCACGTGTGGGGGAGCGGCCTGCAGAGGCGGCGCCGCTCACGCCGCCTGGAAGGGCACGAAGACGGAGAAGGGCGTTCGGGCCTGCAGGCCACGTAGAACACACACACGCACACACACACACACATAGATTATAACAGCGCACCGTACACCGTAACTTCTGCGTATAGTATGTGTATTGACTGTAGTTCAACCGATACCTTTGCAGGCGCGGATGCTGTCCCCGCGCCAAAACGGCGGATTCGCGTGGCGGCTTCCACGAGTGCTGGAGAAGGCGGGTCTCCGCGTTTCGAGGGTAGCAAGAAGGCTGAAATGAAACCTTTTGCAGGGTTAAGCAGTTCGGGCATGTGTCTTCGATTTGGGGTTTAGGGTTTAGTAGTAGGGTTGCGTGAGGTATGGGGTGCTCTGAAGGGTGGCGAGCGCAGTCCCGGCCGACCTCCCCTATGGATGGCCTATTCACCTAGTTGCCTAAGGCCTAAACCCTGAAAGCAACAGTCCTTTGCTGTGGACTCTTTTATTTGGAACCACAAAGTTCGGTGTTGCTGCAGCTGCCATTTTGGCTGCGACATGGAGTGCGCTTGAGGGCTAAAAGCAAGGCCTTCGCCGGTGACTTGGCCACAGCATGGCAACGGCTGCCATGCACCAGGCCTGGGACTACATAGACAGTCACTTCGACGAGAGGGGGTTGTTTGGCGAAGCAGGCGGAGACATGGTCGCGCGACTGAGCGCTCAAGTTTGCGCGCACCCGTTTCCATATGGGATGGCTCTCCAGACAGCTCTCCTTGGATGCGTCAACGGAGCTCGGGTTCGTTGTTTTCCAGGAGACCCTTCGCCTTTGTCACTCGTGTGCCTCGTGGTAAACCCACCTCAGACAAGGAAAAGTGGGATAACAAATTGCATCAACAAAGTGGGCAAGGCGGTTGACAGAGTGATTGCTCGCTGGGCTGAAGGCAAGGAGCTTCGGCCTAGGAGTGCCGTCTTGACTACTTTCACGGAAGCGGGCTTCTTCCAGAGATGCAGTGCAGAGGGCGAGCGTTTGTACTACAGTGTTTTGTTGTCCTTGGACGAAAGCTACCGACTCCTGAAGATGTTGGGACTGGGTACAGGCAAAGGACATGGCAAGGAGCACGCAGCTGCACCCACGGATGGTGCCTCGCAGTGGAACGCATTGCTGCAGACAGGTCACAGCAGCATGACCTGCAAGACGGGCGTGAGCTACGAGTCCCGCAGCGCCACGTGCAACGTGGTTGGCGTCGGCAACATTCATTCTGGCCCTTTCCTTGGCTTGGTGAAGCTAGGATGACCGGTGAGTGGAAGTTTTTTCTCTTTTGTGTGCGGAAGTTTTTTCTGTTTTGTGTGCAGAGGGATTAGTTTCATGGTTTGATGGCAGTGTATAGGGGTTGAGTAAAGGGCTGGCGTTGTACCAGCGCACGCCAAGTCAGCAAAGGAGAGACTGGCAACCATGAAGTAGCAGCGATGGAAAGAATCCTTTTCCTTTTCGGAAGACCAATTTCTCCCCATGCTCCGCTTGCAGAGTCGATAGAGCTGCCAGCTGACTTCCAGAGGGTGTCATGGGTGCCACTCTTACCGAACATGCTGGAGGCTTTGGGCCTCACACGTGAGGCGCTAGCGCTTGAGACAGCTACACGGTTATTCGAGCCAACTGAGCCTGTGGATGACTGTCCATGCTTCCGTATTGTCCTGGCGGATGGCTGCTCGACGGAGCTGCGTTTCCGCACGGTGGCATCTTGTTGAAAGTCAACGAACATTTATATTTCATGTGAAATATTCCATATTCTACATGTTCCACGCCTCGTATCTTATTTCTTATCTTATGTCTTGTGTCTCATATCTTATATCTTATGCCTGATCTTTATTCGTTTTCGAGCTTTTTTGCAAGTTCAGAACATTCAAGGCGAGTGGCTCGGGAGAATCTGCTCGCTGTCACCGACGGCCCGAGTTTGCAGTTGCCAACCGGAACATTCCTGTTCCAGACATCGAGTCCATGGCGCACAGGGTGCTGCATTATTTTGCTGATACGCATGCGGTGGTGGAGTTTGCTGAGGAGGCCCAGGAACTCTTTGTGGCCTACGCGGCGTGTTTTTCAGCTGAGGATAGCAGATTTTTTTGCAATGTTGGTGTGGCGGGGTAAGCGCAGCTCTGCTTGAACACTTACTCGTCACTCCATAACACCTGCAGCTGAAACAGAGGTGCTTCGTGACAACGACGACGATTCGGCGGCGAGGAAGGGAACGGCCGCATGGCACCTCGGTGTGCTGGCAGCTGCCCAGTTAGTCTGGGACATCGCGACGGAGCAGGCTGCATGACAGGGATGAAAGTGAGTGTAACGTTAGATTGTTGGAGTACCTGTCGGCTGTTGGGGAGAGTTGGTGCAGGGGCCGGGTCTGCTGGGTTGGGTGCGAGGCAGACTCCAGACTGGTGGCAGAATCGAGGCTTCGCATCCAAGCACATCACGTGCTTCGCGCGTATGACGCCCTCAGGTTGACTCATGACGTATTGGGCTTGTGCGTGAATGGCAGCGTGGTGGCGCCCGGTAATTAGCGCAGAGCAGGCACTGTCACAAGCGGCAAGTGCTACGCAGCAGCGGGAGTCAGCGCTGGAGCAGCAGCGGATCCCAGAAAGTCAGTTCGTGAAGTTCGAAGTTGCGCAGGAGTCGGCTGCAGAGGATGGCGAGCCAGGCCTCAGCCAAAGCGACTCGCCGCCGCTAAGTGATGGCTACGGGCCTGGCGGCAGTTCGGTACAGGATCCAGCGCAAGGGCCAAGTATTCTTTCAGATAGAGTGGCTTGATGACAACTTTTGTTTGCAACTCTCAGGGTTCACGTATAGCCCTAATCGTAGCAGTGTAAGGACTAAGTGTGGTCATAGGATATGCTTTGACGTCCGTTGACAGTGCAAGGCAGTAATGTTGCGTACGCTTCTTCGGGGCGAACCCGTTATTTTTGCTCGTCGCGTCGTGGATGCTTGCTCGAAGAAGACGACTGTTGACAACAAAACAGTTAGGACGTCGTTAAAGCTGGCGCACTGGCTCGCGGTCATCAACGCAGGCATGGAGCAGCACTGCATCGGTGAGGTGCAGACGCTGGCTGACCGCAAGGGCCCACGGCTGGTGCTACACCTTCCCAAGTCCAATGATCGAGAAGCTGTGCGTGTGTATCACAACCGGCTGATGGCTTTGTGTGGCTTGAGTTTTGCAGCTTTTTCGAAGCGTTTGGTAGAAGTCGCATCCAAAGGAGGCGGCTCAGGCGCCCGGGTCGTGGCGGCCACTGCAGATGAGCAGGTGTCGGAAGAGGGTGTGTTGGCCGTGCGACCAAGAGCTGCTAACTCAACAGCGGCGCCAAAGGCGAGCGTTGTCGTGCGACCAAGAGCTGCTAAGTCAAGAGCGGCGCCGAAGGCGAGCATTGTTGCGAAGCAAGAGATAGTCTCACACGATGTTGGTTTGGCGACAACTTCTAAGGCCAGGGCTGCGCCTACAGCGCGCAGGGCTGCCAAGACGGCAGTAAAGAAAGAAGTCGTGGAGGAGGATGATGATGATTGCATCATAATCGAAGCATCTGTGCCAGCGTCGTCCGCTAGGGAGAAGACGCAGGACGCAGGGGACAGTCAGGGAAGCAAGTGCCGGAAGCTGAATGAACAGCTCGGCAATTGGCATTGCTAGGAGAGTCGAGCAAGATGGGGGGGGGGTTGAAAAAAGGATGGGCTGGGAAGTGGGGACGGAGAGAGAGACAGAGAGAGAGGTACCAACAATGAGGCTCACACAGATAATCACGTGTGTGCGTGGGTGTGTTGGAGAGGCATGGTCCGCTGAGACGTGCCACCTCCTCTGGCGCGCGGCGCAGGCCAGTGCAGGTTCGTGGAGCAGGTTTTAGGGGTTTAGGGTTTATAGGGGATAGGGTTAGTGTTTTCGAAAACGCATTTTTATGAAAAATTGACGCAGGCTTGAAGCTTGGGATGATCTGAGACCCCTAAGCCCTCAAATCCGCGGCTCGGACCTTCGAAAACGTGTCATTATGGCTAAGCTGGTCCCCTCTGCTCGTTAGACGAGCAAAGCGCCTTAAACATCGAGACATGCTGCAAGCTTAAGCTTGAGATGATCTGAGACCCGTATGGCCCTCTGTCCTTGTTGGACTAGCGAAGCGCTAAAGAAGAACTGACGCTCCAAGGCTGACTTGCAAGGCGCAAGCGGTGCGCCAAAGTCTTCAAGCACGCTGCCGAGACCCTATGGCCTGGATCTGGCGAGCAGTTCTTCAGCGCGTAGCCAAACACTATATGAAGCTCGTGACAGAGGGTTGCTTCGGTTACCCAGGAGTTTAGAAAGCCCCAACGCACTCCTTTAGGAGAGTAATAGGTGGGCAGTTTCTCTCGCAGGAAGCTGAAAACCTGAAACTCTGCACCCTCAACTTGCTGAGTGAATCCTATATGAGGAGTGGGCTTCCCTAAAGCCTAAACCCCCATAAGATCTAAACGCGAAATCCTAAACCCTAAATCAGGCCTTAGGCTCGGCTCTTAAAGCTCGGGGCGAGATTTCGGAGCTTTCCCACAAGAGTGCACGCCATCCAGAAGATCTCAAAAGCTTCACGATCTCAAAAGAGGAGCTTTCCCACAAGAGTGCACGCCATCCAGAAGATCTCAAAAGCTTCACGATCTCAAAAGCTTCACGTCAGGAGCTTAAGGTTTAGAGGTGCAAGTTTCGGTTTGGGGCCTGAGGGCTTTCCGGCTTATGAGAGTTGAGGAAGTATGGCCCTAGTCTGGGTCATAACCCTTAACGACTTCGAGCTTGTGCTCCCCAAACCCTAAACCCTAAACCCTAAACCCTAAACCCCAAATCTTGAACCCTAAGCCTTAAACCCTAGACCCTAAACTGTAAACCCTAAACCCAACTCTAAACCCTAAACTTGGGTTCGGCCGGTCCACACTAACAGTCAAATAACGCCTTGGCCTTATAACACACAGGCCAAAAATAGCACCAGGAATCCCAGTCAATTTTAGCATTTACCGGGTGCTTCTTTTTGTGGGTCTGCTGGTGGTGACTGTTAGTCACATAGCAGCAGAAATAGCACCAGAAATAGCACAAACAATAGCACAAAAAATAGCACCAGAAATAGCGCAGGAATAGCACAAAAAATAGCACCAGAAATAGCACAAACAATAGCACCAGAAATAGCACCAGGAATCCCAGTCAAATTTAGCAGCTTAGCATTTACCGGGTGCTGTTTTTTGTGGGTCTGCTGATGGTGATTGTTAGTCACATAGCACCAGCAACAGCACCAGAAATAGCACCAGAAATAGCACAAACAATAGCACAAAAAATAGCACCAGAAATAGCACAAACAGTAGCACAAAAAATAGCACCAGAAATAGCACCAGGAATAGCACAAAAAAATGCACCAGAAATAGCACCAGGAATAGCACCAGGAATAGCAGGAATCTCAGTCAATTTTTTGGCATTTACCGGGTGCTTTTATTTGTGGGTCTGCTGGTGGTGACTGTTAGTGTGGACCGGCCGAACCCAACCCTAAACCCTAAACCCTAAACCCTAGCTTGTGCTCGTTGTAGAGAAAGAGGGAACACTGTATAGAGCACTGTGAGTCCGACGTCTTGAACTCGAAACTCTAGAGCTGAAACTTCAATTCCCTCATTCTCTTCGAAGTACGAAAAGAGAAGGCGAAGTTGCAAAATGTGTCACTCGGAGCTGTGGACTATTGCAATTGTGAAGATAAAGCGAGAGGATATGCGCATCGTGATATAAGGTTAGATAAGGCGAGTTGTGTACAAGGCTTCACGCTTGCAAGGTTTGACTGAAATCAGGGCCCGCAAGGCCCGTACGGCCCGTAAGGCCCGTAGAGCCCGCGTAGAGCCCGCGTAGAGCCCGCGTAGAGCCCGTAGAGCCCGTAGAGCCCGCAGAGCCCGTAGAGCCCGTAGAGCCCGTGCAGCCCGTAAGCAAGGCCCGCAGAGCCCGCAAGGCCCGCAAGCCTCTCAGGGCCCTAGGGCCGTAAAGCCCGTAGGGTCCCGCGCGGGCCCTGTCCTGCTTTAAGACCTTTCTCGACGTTTTCGTTACTGTATTGTTACATTTTCCATTTTGCATCAGCCAAGTTTTACACGGTTACAGTACTATATTTGTGTCTTGTCATATGTATTCGAGTACCCTGTCAGTTCATTATGTTACATGATGTCTTTCGGTATGTTTATGCTTTTTTACTATTATCTTTGAATGCACATTGTAATATATTCGTTTTCATGAGTCGATTGATTAATTGTGAACAATATTTTTCGACAATCAAAAAAGACTCAGTTTGCATATAAAAAGACTGCGGAAAACGAGTATTAGATAGCTTTAATCATATTGCGTTGTCATATATTATGTTATTGTATTGTGAGTGCCAATGAGAAAGGAAGGTTCCCCGCCCCCTCCCCCCAGCGCCCCCAACCCCCCCCCCCCTGCCCGTCCTTGCTTTTTGCATATTTTTCGTGTTTGTAAACTTGTGCAGCTTGCCTTATAAATTAAGAGCTACTCCCGCCCCAACCTCACCGCTGTTTATGCAGTTTTACCCATGCAAACCTGCTTTTGTAAGGAGCAGCAGCCCATGAAGAGGACTTGCATTGAGAAAATACAGGCTTTTCTATGAAAATATCATATAGAGAAAATCGAAGCTTTTCAATTAAGGTAAAGTATAGAGGGACTCGAGGGTTTTCCGATTAAACCATGTAGTGAATTTGCACGTGGGATCAGAGCCTCGCTCTCAATCAAAAAACGAAAACTCCCAATTCTCGAGAGGGCTTAAAGGGCCAACCTAGGTTGGTGCGGGTCGCGCAGCAGCTGCGTTTCTGCGAGCCTGTGATGGCCAACGCCTAAGTGTGAAGGATGTAGAGGCTCAGGACGCGATATCCTCGTTGAGCTTGTGGGATGACTGGAGGCTCGAGACCGTTCACCTACCAGAGAGCTTGCGGGCCATGAGTTTGGAGCATGTGGCCTTGCCCGGCAGCTTGCAGACCTTGAGCTTCGGACCCTGGTTCAATCAGAGCTTGGAGAACGTGGTCTTGCCTGGCAACTTACAGTCCTTGAAATTTGGATACTCTTTCGATCAGAGCTTGGAGAATGTGGCCTTGCCTGGCAGCTTGCAGTCCTTGAGCTTCGGGGTCGGAAGCAAGTTCAATCAGAGCTTGGAGAATGTGGCTTTTCCTGGCAACTTGCAGTCCTTGAGCTTCGGATACTGGTTCAATCAGAGCTTGGAGAATGTGTCCTTGCCTGGCAGGTTGCGGTCCTTGAGCTTCGGGGACAGATTCAATCAGAGCTTGCAGAATGTGGCCTTGCCTGACAGCTTGCAGTCCTTGAGCTTCGGAACCGATTTCAATCAGAGCTTGGAGAATATGGCCTTGCCTGGCAGCTTGCAGTCCTTGAGCTTCGGAAGCAAGTTCAATCAGAGCTTGGAGAATGTGACCTGGCCTGGCAACTTGCAGTCCTTGAGCTTCGGAGGCAGATTCAATCAGAGCTTGGAGAACGTGGTCTTGCCTGGCAACTTGCAGTCCTTGAGCTTCGGAAGCGATTTCAATCAGAGCTTGGAGAATGTGGCCTTGCCTGGCAGCTTGCAGTCCTTGAGCTTCGGAAGCGATTTCAATCAGAGCTTGGAGAATGTGACCGGGCCTGGCAACTTGCAGCCCTTGAGCTTCGGAGGCAGATTCAATCAGAGCTTGGAGAATGTGACCTTGCCTGGCAGCTTGCAGTCCTTGAGCTTCGGAAGCGATTTCAACCAGAGTTTGGAATCGTTCGTCTTGCCGAGCGGTCTGGTGTGTTTTCGAGGTTTTGCCGTACGTGTTGCTGTTCACACGTGCGGTTGAAAGGGCAGCGAGCTTTGAAGTCGAAAGCCACTTGTCCAAGCGGCTTTCCAAGCCCTAAACCCAAACCCTTCGCGACTAGGTCGCGCTCGCGGCCAAGACTTTTCGGGTTTGGGGCACAGGGTTCAGGGTATAGGGGATTCGGGTCGTCGGGTCAGGGCTTACCGATGGGTCACGCCAAGCCAGCGACCCTGCGGTCCGGCCCGAAATCGAAAAGAAATGAGGCTTCCAGGGTGCAGGATGGTGTTGAGGTTCTCTTCTGCCACCCTCAACCCTAAACCCGGAACCCTTAGCCCGAAACCCCAAACTCTAAACCCTTAATCCTTAACCCCAAACTCGAAGCAAGGCGCAAGCATCTCATGTCCTGTTGGCCGTACACCCGAAGCCCTGACGACTCGATCTCTGCCAACGAAAACTTGGCCCCTTCCTTCGATCCCTGAGCATCCTCAACCCCGGTTTAGGGTTTAGGGTTTAGGGTTTAGGGTTTAGGGTTTAGGGTTTAGGGTTTAGGGTTTAGGGTTTAGGGTCTAGAGTTGGAAGAATATTCCCTGCACTAGTTGAGGTTCCCGATGTTGACCGTTGCTTCAACCCGAGCTTTGAAGTCTCTGGGAAGACACTCCCAAACTAGTGTCGGTTTAGGGTGTAGGGTCTCCATCTATAAAAGGCCTACACCTTGAACCCAAAATGCTGAACTCAGAGCCCAGGCAAGATGCACGTGGCACCAGCGGCAAGAAGATCAAGCTCGCAGCAAACTGCTTCAGGCGGCTGAACCCAAGATTTGAGGTTCCCGATGATGACATCTTTGAGCAACAACCTAATCGGACC